ACATGTAGTAAAGTTGAGGGAGTACATGCTATAATGCCAAGGAGTTCCCTTCCTGGGGATATTTCCTAGAGAAACACATGCATGTGTGCACAGAGAAACAGGTATAAGAATATTCTGTGCAACATTGGTTGTAATAAGAAGAAATTAGAAAAAAACATTGCTCATGAACAGAATGGCTAAATTACTCTGTAGTGAAGTCACCATGCAATACTGAGGCTGGCGGGTGATATGAGCACAAGAAACTTAGTCTGATGCTCCCCACTCTGTATTTAGGTTGAAAAAGAAATCCACAAAATCTACCAGAATAATAGTGAATATGAATGAAAGTAGTTATGTGACATTAATTTTTGAGAGATATATTGAAGACTCCTCTTTTTTGCTAAATATAGAAATTAATTTGTACTAAAAATGAAATATCAGCATTGCAGTTTTTAACTGGTGATCAGATCAGAAACCCTTGGGGGAACTGTTTTAAACTAGATTCCTGGGCTCCATCTGTGTCGTGATTAGCGCTGTGACTGATGGGATGCACGCCTTCTTGCTGAGCTCTGCTGGCCAGAGGATCAGCAGGGAAGCCATCTTCTGTACCTGGAAAATCAGTGCTTCTTCAGAACATGCCCTACAATGGCCATATCTGTCTGGTTGCTATAATAGAGGAGAACATTGATACAAGCAAGTAAACTGGGTAGCAGGGTTTGATAAGAGTACAAAGATTGATGAGCTTATGGACAAAGAACTGTGGTTACAAAACCTGCTAGAAGTAAAGGAGGAGAGAAAGCAAGAAAAAGCAATAGAGCCCTGGCCAGGTGGCTCAGTTGGTTGTAGTGTCATCCCATACACCAAAAGGTGGAGGGTTTGATTCCTGGTCAGGGCACATACCTAGGTTGTGGGTTTGATCTCCAGTTGGAGCACAACCAATCAATGTTTCTCTCTCACACTGATGTTTCTCTCTCTCTCTCTCTCTCTCTCTCTCTCTCTCTCTCTCTCCCTCTCTCTCTCTCTCTCTCTCTCTCCCTCTCTCTTTAGAAAACAAACCAACCAAACAAAAAAGTATATCCTCAGGTGAGAATTTTTAAAAAAAAGGATAAAAGCAATAGAATTGATTTAATCATTTGAAACAATTTCTTCTTTTCTTTTGTTATAGGGTATTCTCAGAAAAAGTTTGGAGAATGTGAAAATGTGAGTATCATTATGCAATGAATTTAGTTTGAAATGAAGTTTTCTTTCAGACGTAGTCTGTCAGCCTTATTTATTAACTCCAGTATTTGTAGAGTATTGTACATCCTTATTTGAGTAGGGTTTCAAAAGTAGAAAGCATTGCCCTGGCAGTATGGCTCAGCTGGTTGAGTGTTGTCCCATGCACTCAAAGGTAGCTGGTTTGATTCCCAGTCAGGACACCTTCCTGTGCTCGTTCAGTCCTTGGTGGGGATGCGTGCGGGAGGCAGCTGACTGATGTTTCTCTCACATGAATGTTTCTCTTTCTCCCTCTCCCTTCCTCATTCTCTCAAATTAATAAAGTCATATTTTTAAAAAGTAGAGAGCATGGTTAAAGATCACAAAAAGCTTGAATGTACAATTTTAAATATGTAGAGAAATTGTTGTACGCACACTGTACACGGTAGACATAAAGGCCTACGGGGATCTTGCTAGAGTAATTGGTTAAGGGAAGTGGGCTTGGTGAGAGATTTTCAAGAGAAGTGAATTATTCTGCAGATAAACAGGTAGAGTAGAAATGGTGTAAACTCAGGTAAGAAATAAAAAGATCAAATGCTATCAAGTATTGATTCAAAATATAAAAAATCTAGTAATAAGCTCTGGAAACAGGCCAAGTGCCCATCAGTAGCTGAGTGGATGAAAAAGCGGTGGTGCATTTATGCAGTGGAATACTACACAGCTATAAAAAAGAAGGAACTCTTACCTTTTGCAGCAGCATGGATGGACCTGGAGATTATTATGCTAAGTGAAGCGAAGTTAAAAAAAGCATAGTGCGTGGCATAAAACCACTCTAAGCAAGTTACATTTGATTTCAATGTTATTTGAATTTTACATTCTTCTCTAATTTTTAGAAATTCGGCATCTACATTTGACTCTCCTGTAAACGAGCGTACTGTGGATGAGCGGTAAGAAAGAACTGTAAAACAGAATTTGCTTAGAGATATGTTTGTTTATTCCACAAAAGTTTCATAAGGAACTGTTGTACATCAGACAGGCTGTATATATTTCCACCTGAACAGTTGAATTATTTTGGCACATTCAGGCCCATAGGGGATCTTTTAATCTCAAAGTAAAGTTTCGACAAATCTAAATGGAATGTGGTGATGTAGATCTATGTGATGCTTATGTGGGTTTCTCTGAGATCTATGGAAGTTTTTAATATTGAAAGCAAATATTCCTATAAACCAGTGATCCCCCCCCCCCCCCAAAAAAAGTACTCTAGCCAGAATCAGAATAGTATCATTTGAATCTGTTTTCATTTTCCAGTTTTCAGTTTGAAAAAGGGTGTTTTTTGTGGTAGATCATATGTTTAGGTTCAAATAAAATAGGCCTATTTGGAACAAAAGAACATTGAAATAAGTTTAAAAATAACAATAAAGAGCCCTAGTGTTGAGTGTTTCCTTCCCACGTCCCGCGGGGATCAGGGTTCAGGAACTGGAAGCAGAGCCGCACACAAATGAAAATGAAAATACAAGAGATAATTGGAAATATTGGGGGACAAAGCAAGCAAGTCCTACTCAAGGGGAAGGACTTCCTCCCGTGCTGAGGCCTCACCAAGTTTTTATTGATCTGGGATGCACCCATAGCATAGCCCTTAGGCAGGCAACCCCCCATTAACAGGCAGACTAGCCCATCAGCAAGGATTTACATAATAATAAATGGGGGAGTAGTTTCAGCTACCACTGTCTGGACAAACAGAGGTGGTGCCTAGCTCCGACCTTTGCTAGGGCTTCAAAGGCACCCAGCCTTCGGCAGGGGGTTCTCTGTCTATGCTTATCAGATAGTGAAGGCAATAAACAGTTTCCCCCATTTCCCCCTTATTTTTTCCTTAAGTTGGCTTGTATCTGCAGACCAGAAATAAACATATAAGAACAAGTCCCAATTTCAATGTCCAACAGTTCTGAGTCCAAGTTTCAATGTCCGACAGTTCATGTGTACATGCCAACAATGAAATGCTGGTTCTGGATGGTGGACAAATGCAGGTCCGGTTCTCTCTAGTTTGGTCCTGGGCATCCTGCAGCGACGCACAGCTGCTGACTGCTAGCATGGCAAGGCGTCTTCATCATCTCCATCTCTGAAATGTCTCTCCTGTCTTTTTTTTTTAATTAAATCTTTATTGTTCAGATTATTACATTGGTTCCTCTTTTTTCCCCCACCATAACTCCCCTCCACCCAGTTCCCACCCCACCCTCTGCCCTCACTCCCCACCCACTGTCCTCATCCATAGGTGCATGATTTTTGTCCTGTCTCTTCCCGCATCTCCCACACCCCTTTCCCCCCCAAGCATAGTCAGTCCATTCCCTTTCTATGTCCCTGATTCTATTATAATCAACAGTTCATTCTGTTCATCAGATTATTTATTCACTTGATTCTTAGATTCACTTGTTGATAGATGTGTATTTGTTGTTCATAATTTGTATCTTTATCTTTTTCTTCTTCCTCCTCTTCTTAAAGGATACCTTTCGGCATTTCGTCTAATACTGGTTTAGTGGTGGTGAACTCCTTTAGCTTTTCCTTATCTGTGAAGCTCTTTATCTGACCTTCAATTCTGAATGATAGCTTTGCAGGATAAAGTACTCTTGGTTGTAGGTTCTTGGTATTCATCACTTTGAATATTTCTTGTCACTCCCTTCTGGCCTGCAAAGTTTCTGTTGAGAAATCAGCTGACAGTCATATGGGTATTCCCTTGTAGGTAACTGAGTCTCTTTCTCTTGCTGCTTTTAGGATACTCTGTTTGTCTTTTGCTCTTGGCATATTAATTATGATGTGTCTTGGTGTGGTCCTCTTTGGATTCCTTTTGTTTGGGGTTCTCTGCGCTTCCTGGACTTGTAAGTTTATTTCTTTCACCAAGTAGGGGACATTTTCTGTCATTATTTCTTCAAATAGGTTTTCAATATCTTGCTCTCTCTCATCTTCTGGCACCCCTATAATTCTGATGTTGGTACACTTGTAGCTGTCCCAGAGGCTCCTTACACTATCTTCGTATTTTCAGATTCTTTTTTCATTTTGCTTTTCCCGTTGGGTGTTTTTTGCTTCTTCCCATTTCAAATCTTTGACTTGATTCTTGCGCTCCTCTGGTCTGCTGTTGGGAGTCTGTATAATATTCTTTATTTCAGTCAGTGTATGCTTACTTTCTAGTTGCTCCTTTATCACACCATCGAGGGTCTCATTAGATTTCCTGTACATCTCATCAAGTTTATCGATAGACTCTAGAAGCCTCTTGAGAGACCTCAAAAGTGTGGTTTTGAATTCTATATCAAGTAGCCTGCTTTCCTCCGGTTCTGTTCTTTGTGGCCTGTTTCTTTGTCTCGGCATTTTTTTATGCTTCGCTGTGTCGATAGAGTGGCTTTCCGTGTTAAGTGTCCCAATTACCTGAGGTAGACACTCTTGGTGCACCCCCTTGTGGTCTTTGTGCGCAGTCTTGTTTTAGTTAAGCCTTGATTGTTGTAGGTAATTACTACTTGACCTCCAGGCCAACTGGCTGTGAGAATCAGCTGTGTCTGCAGTGGGAGAACTTCTGTCCTCTAGGGAGGTGCTAATCTAGCCTTTGCCTGAGGCTATCCAGCAAATGGCTCTGTGCAGGGCTTGGGCAGGGCAGGTCCCACGGGATCAACAGGGCGGGTGGAGCCAGCAGTTATGGTTGCTCTCAGTCCGTCCTCAGGGGCTCTGCCTCTCTGTCCCAGCAACCGCTGCAAACCTCGGAGGGACTGAAGCCAGACAGTCCCGCTTCTCCCGTTTGAGTCTGGGTCCCTAGAGACTCGCCCGGATCTAGAGCTCAGAGTCTGAGGCTCCCTCCGTATTGAAACAGACAACCACGCCCTCTGCCACCAGCCCGCGCCGCGCGCACTCCGCACCTTAGTATTTTACTTCAGCACTGCGCCTCCTCTGATTCTGGGTTCCTCCTAGTTGTAGAACTTCCACTCAGCCAGCCTTCCTGTGGTTCTGGATGATGTCTGTTCCGTCTTTTAGTTGTATTTTTGAAGTGGTTGTTCGAGGCAGCAAACTCCGGTGTTAACCTATGCCGCCATCTTGGTTTTTCTCTCCTGTCTTTGTGGCCAGAGCAATTTGGTCAGTTTCTGTCTGGGATCTGTTGCCGCAGGAATCCACATGGTCTTGGAGCTGTTCTCTGAAAGTATACAAACGTATTCTCGACCAAAGGTTTTACTTGGGGGATCCTTTTTATATTTGCCTAAATGATTTTCCTTTGGCTTATTTTGACATCACATATGTTTTTCATGGGTGTCTTGCTGTTAGCATTACAAATGAAAAAAATTTTTTTCTAGATGTAATTAGTTACAGGATATTTTTCCTTACATGGTATTCTTCCACTATCCCCCTTTTTTTGATTTTATTATTAGGAGGCTTTTGGAAAATTTTTAATGCAGTATAGATAACTTTAAATTTTTATTTTTTTCTGCACAAAAATATGACTGCTTTAGGTTCATTGCATGTTAAGCAATTTTACCATGAAATGAAAATTTTGGTTAATATTTCTTGAGCCAATTTTAATTAATTTGAAAACTTGACTACTATTTTACTGTCAAATTTAATACTTTAACAACAATCTTAGTTTACACTGTAAATGTTAGTGGAAAGGATTATTTTGCATCCTTGAGAAGGCCCTGAGCACTCCTGTTGTTAGGCTGGATTTAGATATAGGGTAGCTGCTGTCAGCCAAGTCTCTGTTGTTTGGATTATGATCTGAGCTGGGCCAAGTCTCTTTCTGTTATCTGGGTCCTGATCTGAGCTGGGCATGGGAAGCGGGAAGCAGCCATGGGGGCAGGAGACCTCCCTTAGAAGGGGCGAGTGTTCAAGCCCCTGCATAGTTGGGGGGGTGAAGATCTGTGCCCCACCTCTGTTGAACCCCAAGTTCTCTTCTACTGGCGCCTTGACTGTGCCTGTCTTAGGTCATTCCTCCCTGAGGAATCTTACCCGTCATTGACTAACCAGCCATCCTCTGGGGCCAAGTAGGGTGATGTGAGGTTCAGTTCTGTCTCCTTGTTAGCCTATGCCCCTGTGGCCTCCACACACAGCAGCTGCCTTTGGATCCCCTTGCATGCTGGTGGGGCCCCGGCATTGATCATGGGAAACCCAGGTTTCTTCTCCAGAGAGGGCCCAGCTTACACCATTGGGCAAGAGACAGATCTATGGTACCAGCCACCATGATCTCAGCTTGAACGGAGAACTCAGGTAACAGCTGTAGGATTGTGAGAAGAGGGAATCCTCTTGGCAAAAAGGTCAAGAGAGGTCAATATAGAATGCTTAATTGCCTTCCCAGGGGGCCTTCCACACAGTGGAAGGGAATAAATGCTTTCATGTCCTTAAAATATTCAAAGAATTAATTTGTAAGTTTGTTTGGGATAAATGCACAATATACTGTTGTAAAGCATTAAAAATTATTAATGAAACTTGTAGAATAATACCATGCAAGAATATTCTTTGCTCTAGGTCATGACAACTTAATTTTAAACTGGCTGTCAATTTCTTTTTGTATAGACAAGCTCTTAGTTACATTTTCCTTCACCTGTTGTACAAAATGAGAGGTCTGAACAGTCTGTACCATAGATGAAGCATCAATGCCCACAGAAGTAAGTAACGTTACGAGGGCAACGATTCCTGCAATTAACATTCCAAGAAATCTTTTTGGTCTAAGATTTTTACTAGATCATGCAACAGTTGGTAGCTTAATTACTATAACAGTCTTGCCAATTAACTTCTTCCTCAGTGGGATTCCCTTCATAAGACCTTTTACGTAAAGGCTTGAGGGGGTGGTGCCTTAACACACTTATATTTTCTGCACCTTTCCCTGGAGCAAGTAGAGATAATACATGTACTTGAGCCATTTCTTCCCTGTTCTTTGGGCTCCAGGCTGGCCAACAACCTCTCTTTAATTTTACACACAAGG